GCTGGCATCGTCAGAGGTCCAACTCTGAGTGGAAAAAGAGAAAGCCGAAACTCGAGCTCAACAAATCAAAAACCTCCAGTCTCATTGGGCTCGACCATTGCTGAACGGGATGCTCTTGGCAAGGAGCTTGAATCAGCATGGTCTATGTTAGAAATAACTAGAGTCGATGCTGAAGAGATGGTGGCCCAGTGTAGGGCCGATGCCGAGGCAGCCCAGGACAGCCTGAAAGTTACTGTTGAGTACATAAGTGGCAGTCCCGAAGGGAGGCTCTCGAGGAGGTCCATGCCCGAGGTATTGATCTGTCGGCCAAGATTGAAGATGCTAAAAGGCTCGAAGCCGAGGCCAAGAAGTTGGTGGACCCCGAGGATGAGGAAGGCTCTGAAGGCTCCGGTGACCCCGAGGATGGAGAAGACCCTGATGGCCCCGGTGACGAAACGGGCTCCGGTGGAGATCAGGCATAGGTGCCTTATAGATTTTTCTTCTATTTTTGTATTTTTGTTCATTTTGTTGAGGACGTTTGGCCTTTGTAAAGATCTCTATTGATATATATATATATATATATATATATATATATATATATATATATATATATATATATATATATATATATATATATATGTATATGTATATATATATAAGGCTTTTTCCCTTTGGAAATTTTCGAGTTTGTTTCTTTTGCTTTCTTCTTTAGGATTGTAAAGATTTCAAATGCCTTAGCACGAAATAAAATGCAGTAACAAGGTTTTGTTCGGAGATTTGACAAGGCCCATTCTCGATGTAACTTTATTTGAAACTCGTGGGGGCTTGGTATGATCGGAATCTTTCCCCAAAGTGCTTACTTAAATGTTTTTAAATTATAGTTTTACCAAGGGTAGCCTTTGAACCGGTTATAAATTTTGAAGGCCTTATGTTTCGATTACGGGCTTCGGACATCTCCGAGTTGTTTTAAGGGTGGCCGTAGCCTTTCAAATTTGGGTACTGCCTAATAGGCTTTTGTGCCTCCGGGCTTCGATAACCTAAGTCATCCAGGTTTATTTTGGACGATAGCCCCCGAGTGGGGGTGATCTCTTGGATCCGGATAGAGACGGCCCTTGGGCTCAATATCCTTAAGGAACAAAATGTAATACTCTTAAGGGGGAAAATATGTATCTACAAGGCAGAAACTTTCTTTCATTCTTGTGCGCAATATACAAGGTTGTGAGTGTGTACAAGCTTCGTATTATGGCTTAAGTGGTCTATGTGGGCACGATTCATTTGACCGTTTGACCCGTACAATAAGTCCTATCCATCGAGCCCAGAATGTTCAGGCACAGAGTTTCCTTCCTTGCTAAAATCATTACTCGAGGGTAATGGCCCCAGTATTCGAGGTTGATCGTCAAGAGGGCTCGGATACTGTTGATGTGACTCTCGATTCCGGTTCATAATCTGTCTTTGGTTCTAAGTTAGGATGATACATTGTTGCCTCATTAAAAACCTTGATGGAAAACCCAATCACAGCTGGTTCAAGGGAAAAAGAGTGCAACGCGTGCTTTCAGGCCTAATAGATGCATCATTCTTTGGCCGTTGCCTGCAAGTGTTAGTCCAATTCGTAAGATATATAAAAAAAAGAATGAACGGGGCCGTACCTTAGCGGTAGTATCATTTTAAGTGGGTTACGTTCCAATTGTTCGGTAGTCGCTCCCCGTTTCCTGCCTCGAGCTTGTATGAACCTTTGCCGGTAATCTCGATAATTCAATATGGACCTTCTTAATTCGGTCCCACCTTCCCTTCGTTTGGGTTCCGGGTGTTCAGTGTCATCTTTCTTAACACCAAGTCCCCGACATTGAAGTTTGGAGGTTGGCTCTCCAGTTGTAATACCTTTTGATCCGTTGCTTCTGGGCGGCCATCCGTAAGAGTGAGGATTCGTGCCTTTCATCCAACAGTTCCAGGCTTGTGTTCATGGCCTCACCGTCTTACTCTTTGGTTGTATATCGGAACCTCGGTTCTCCTACTTTGACTGGTATTAGCACTTTGGCACCGTAGACCAATGAGAACGGGGTGGCCCCGCTACTGGATTTTAAGGTCGTACGATATGCCCATAGTACTTCGGGCAAAATTTCTTTCCATTTTCCTTTGGCAGCGGTCAATATATTCTTTAAGTTTTGGAGTATGGTCTTGTTAGTAGCCTCCGCCTGCCCTTTCCCACTAGGGTGATAGGGTGTTGATAGGATCCTTTTGATCTTATGGTCCTCGAAAAATTTGTACCTTACTGCAGATGAATTGCTTCCCGTTGTCGCTTACAATCTCAGCCAGCATTCCGAACCTACATATTATGTGGTCCCAAATAAAATCAATAACTTCTTTCTCCCTGACTTTCACAAATGCCTGGGCTTCAACCCGTTTAGAAAAATAGTCAGTCATAAATAATATAAATTGAGCCTTGTCCATGGCAGGGGGCCGACGATGTCCATTCCCCATTTCATGAATGGCCAAGGTGACAAGACCGAATGTAGTAACTCCTTGGGCCGGTGGATCATCAATGCATGCCTATGACATTCATCGCACTTTCGTACGAAATCCTTCTCATCTTCTCCATGTCGATCTAGTAGTAGTCGGCTCTGATTATCTTACGAACCAGCGATTCGGCACCCGAATGATTCCTGCATGTGCCCTTGTGAACTTCCCTCAACACATATTCGGTAGCTCCCGGTCTCAGACATATGTCAAGTGGTCCATCAAACATTCTCCTGAATAAGGTGTTATCTTCAGATAGGTTGAACCTGGCCGCCTTCGTGCGTAGAGCTCTTGATTCTTTAGGCTCCGAGAGCAACTTCCCGATCTTCAGGTAATCTATATTCTTGTTTCTCCAATCCTAGGTTAAGCTTGTCAAGTTTATCTCGGTGTGGCCCTCTTCCACTACCGATTTCATGAGTTGTACGACCATTCCCAAGCTGAATTCATCGTCATCAACTGACGATCCCAAGTTAGCTAGAGCATCGGCTTCGTTGTTTTGATCTCGGGGTATATGTTGCAGGGTCCACTCCTTGAATAGATGCAGTGTTACCTGCAGTTTATCCATGTATCTTCGGATTCAATCCTCTTTCACTTCGAACGTCCCATTGACCTAATTCACCACCAGGAGGGAATCACACTTAGCTTCGACTACTTCAGGCCCCAGGCTTTTAGCCAATTCGAGACCTGCAATCATGGCCTCATACTCGGCCTCATTGTTAGTCAATTTTACAATTGTAATAGATTGCCTAACTACATTACCCGTTGTTGGCTTTAACACGGTGCCAAGTCTGGACCCTTTTGCGTTCGAGGCACCATCCGTAAAGATGGTCCAAATCCCTGAGGAAGTTCCCGAGTTCAACAACAATTCCCTTTCAACTTCGAGTGCTAAGACCGGTGTGAGTCGGCCACGAAGTCTACCAAAACTTGGGATTTGACGGCAGTTTGGGGTCGATATTCGATATCGTACCCGCTGATTTCCACGGCCCATTTGGCCAATCATCCCGAGAGCTCGGGTTTATGCATTATGTTTCTCAAGGGGTAGGTAGTTACGACACATATGGGGTGGCACTTAAAATATGGCTTTAACTTTCTGGAGGCGCCTAACAAAGCGAGCGCCAATTTTTCCAGGTGAGGATACATAGTTTCGGCCTCGCCTAGAGTCCTGCTAACATAGTAGATAGGAAATTGCGTACCTTCATCCTCCCGGACCAGGACTCCACTTACCACTATCTCGGATACCGCTAAGTATAGGTACAACTGCTCATCTGCCTTCGGTGTATGAAACAAAGGCAAGCTCGAAAGGTATCGCTTGAGTTCTTCCAAGGCTTGTTGGCACTCCGGGGTCCATGAGAAGTTATTCTTCTTCAATAACGAGAAGAACCGATGGCTCTTGTCGGAGGACCTTGAAATGAATCGTCCCAAGGTGGCTATGTACCTAGTTAGCCTTTGAACGGCTTTGACATTGTCCACCACGGTGATATCCTCAATGACCTTGGTCTTGTTGGGATTGATCTCAATTCCCCGATTGGACACCATGAATCTGAGGAACTTTCCGAACCCTACTCCGAATGTGTATTTCTCCGGGTTCAGCTTCATATTATATTTCTTCAATATGCTGAAGGTTTCCTGCAAATTTTTCACATTGTCCTCTGCTCGCAGGGACATAACTAACATGTCGTCAATGAAAACCTCCATTGATTTTCCTATTTGTTCTTTGAACATCCAATTTACTAGGCATTGCTAAGTGGCACCTACGTTTTTTAGTCTGAATGGCGTTGCATTATGACAGTAGGTGCCGTATTTAGTGATGAAGGAAGTTTTTTCTTGGTCGTCCGGGTCCATCCGGGTTTGGTTGTACGCGGAGTAGGCATCGAGAAAGCTGAGTATCTCGTGGCCAGCTGTTGCATTGATCATGCGATCAATGTTTGGCAAAGGGAAAGAGTCTTTGGGGCATGCCTTGTTTAAGTCTTTATAGTCTACGCACATTCTCAATTTATTTCCCTTTTTAGGCACTACCACTATGTTTGCTAACCAATCCGGGTACTTAACTTCCCGAATGCAGCCTATTTTAAGAAGTTTGGATACCTCATATTTGATGAACGCATGCTTGACTTCGGATTGAGGCCTCTTCTTCTATTTAACCGGGTGAAACTTCGGATCCAAGATTAGCTTGTGAGTAGTTACTTCCGGTGGGATCCCTGTCATGTCAAGATGGGACAAAACGAAGCAATCTATGTTAGTTATAAGGAATTCAATGAGTTTGTTCCTGAGCCCGGGAGTTAGTCCCGTGCCCAGGTATACCTTTCGATCTGGCAAATACTCGATCAACTTGACTTGCTCCAGCTCCTCAAACATTGACTTGGTCGCATCGGAATCGTCGAGGGCTATGAAAGACCTAGGGACTCCGTAGTCGTCTTCTTCACCTGTCTCCCGCTTCTCTGGTTCGGTTGGGGCCGGCATCGGTGATTGCTATTTGGTTTCTCCCTTGGTGATTGAACCCGGACCCTTTAATGTTGAAGCGCGGATATCGGGACCACCTCATCAACCATGAACATTTCTTTTGCAGCCGGTTGTTCTCTGTAAAATGTTTTGATCCCGCTCGGTGTAGAAAATTTCAACGCCTGATGTAGCGTCGAGGGTACTGCCCTTATGTCGTGAATCCTTGGCCTTCCAAATAAAGCATTGTACCTCATATCTTCTTCAATCATGTAGAATTTTATGTCGTGAACAGTCCCGGCGGTGTTTACCAGTAAGGTTATCTCCCCTTTAGTGGTCTCGCAAACCATGTTGAACCTGTTTAAGACTCGGACTGCAAGCACTATCTGGTCTTGCAGACCCAACTGCTCCACGACCCTCGATCTGATGATATTGGTCAAGCTACCTGGATTAATTAACACACGCTTAATTCGAGATTTATTTATGAGTACAGATATTACCAGTGCATCATTGCGTGGTTGCACGATTCCTTCAGCATCCTCGTCATTGAAAGATACAGTTCCTTTTTGCATGTAATCTCGAGTCTATTTTTCCCTTGTGATAAACACTTTGGTGCGCTTTAACATCGACCCCTGGGGGACGTCGACTCTACCAATGATCATGTTAATGACGTGCTGAGGTTCCTCCAGCTCGACCTGCTTATTGGAGTCCCTATTCCTGAAATGATTTTTGGCTTGATCGCTTAGGAACTCTCGGAGGTATCCTTGTTAAATATCCGGGCCACTTCCTCTCTCAGGTTGTCGACAATCATCAGTTTTGTGGCCATGAGTTCCACGATATTTACACATCAGGTTGGGGTCCCTTTGGGCAGGATCGGATTGTAAAGGTCGAGGCCACTTGGTGTCTTTGATGCATCCGATGTCAGATACGATGGCAGCAACATCAACGTCGAAGTTGTACTCCGATAACCTTGGAGCTTCTTTAGGCCCGATGGGTCTGTCAAAACCGTTTTTGCTTATGAGTCCCTAGTTATTTTGACCTCGATCGCTTCTCCTTTAACTTCTCACAGGGTTTCGTCTAGACCCATTACCTCTTCGGTCTCCGTTGTATGGTTGATACCGGTATCTATTTGATCTTGGTTCGTGATCAATGTCTCTTTTGGATCTGTCACTAGATCTGACAGGATAGACGGACCCGTAAGGGGCCCCAAGCTAATCATCTTCAACCCTGATTTTTATTGGTACCGGTTATGGACGTCGGCCCAAGTTACCACCGGATATTCTATTAGATTTTGCTTTGACTGCTGTGAAGACAACGAGCTTCGAATATTGAGTCCTTGGGCGAAGGCCTGAATGGACCAATCGTCCGCGACTGGGGGCAGGTCCATTCGTTCCATTTGAAACCAGGATATGAATTCCTTGAGTATCTCTTTATCTGTTTGCTTCAATTTGCAAAGCTTTGACTTCCTGGTTTTGACCTTGATGGTTTTGGTGTGCGCTTTTACAAAGGCATCTGCAAGCACAACAAACGAGTCAATAGAATTAGGGGGTAAGTTGTGATACCATATCATGGCTCCTTTTGACAAGGTCTCTCCGAATTTCTTTAGCAGTACGGATTCAATTTCATCATCTTTCAAGTCGTTCCCCTTGATGGCACATGTGTACGAGGTCACATGTTTATTTTTCTTTCCATTATAATTCGGAAATTCGGGCATACGGAACTCCTTAGGGATCGGCTTCGGAGCTGCGCTCGGGGGGACAAACTTCTTAGAATCCAGGCCCTTCAGTATCGATGGTGCGCCTGGAACCGACTGAGCCAGGCTTTTATCAGTATCAACAACTGGATGTCCACAGCATCATCCAAGTTGTCTATCTTGACGACAACTGCAGAGGCTCAGTCGGCACCTCCAGCCCCACAGGTTCCCCAGTCGATCGAGGATGCGCTCAAAGAGATGTTAGAAAATCAGAAGAAGATCCTCGACAATCAGAAGAAGCTTGCTGAGGCAGTTGATTCACATAGCAAGGCTCTCAAGGAGCTTGCTAAGGAGCATAAGAAGCTAAGGAAGACACGGGCCTCCAAGGAGTCCGTGAAGGAGCTGCGTGCAGATATTGACAGACTGAAGGCAGATAGTTGCCTTTAGACTTATTGCTTAAGGACCCAGTACCTGCAGCCCACCCACAGCCGGAGCAGTCACAGAGGCCTCCGAAGAGGAGGAGGATGATTCCTAGAGCGGATGATGTTGTCATCCAGTTGGCGGACCCGCCAGAGACTTCCTCCAGTCAGCCACCGGATGTATCTCAGGAGCCTGTCCAAGCCCAGGTCCCAGCAGCAGAGCAGGAGACCAGTCTGAGGTTCCCGAGCACACAGAGGACCCAGGGACCACTCAGGAGCTCATGCAGACAGACATGCCTTAGGGAGTCTTCTATATCCTTTCCCTCTCTATTTTTGTTGCTTTGTTTAGACTAGTTGGCATTGGGGACAATGCCAGCTTTCATTAAAGGGGGTAGGCCCTACTTTTTGCTTCATGGATACATTCGGATGACTGTATATATTTTTGATATATTTCTATGCTTTCTTTATTCGGACGACCCTAGAGTTCTAGGTCTCCACCTTTTTGTCGTTAGCTTCGATTTTCTTTTCTCCCGATTTTACTCATTTCGTTAATTCCTCGAGCATCTTTATTATCTCGGGGTTGGTCCTGGATTCGGCTTCACTTGGCCTTTCTATGACTGGTTCATTTCTACGGGTGTTTTCCCGGGATGGTTCGGGCTCAACTCTACTGGGAGCGCGGCTTTGGTTCTGCAACTGGGCTATCGCTACCTGTTGAGCCAGTAGCATTTCGAAGATCACCAGCAAGTTGATCCCATCGCCTTCACCGCCGTATGTATCCATGGCTATCGACTTGCCTCCCCCGCAAATGTTGTTCTCTAGGTCGGTGGGCAAGTTAGTGTTGATGGCCACATGGGAGTTAGCATCGATTGGATCTACGACCAGGACCACTTTGGGGTCAACAGGGTGAACCTCGTTGCTAGGCACTATATTGTTGTTCTAGCCGTGGTGGCCAGATTCAGCATCAACGTTTAGGTGAGCAGATTAAGAGTTTGACATCTTTAAGCCTTCCTGAAATTAAGACCTCAAAGAACAAAAGTCAAGCAGAGTGTGTTGTGGAAATTTGTATCAAATAATCACTATTATTTTTAGCCCCATGGTAGGCGCCACACTGTTTACCCTAAAAACGGATAACAATTAAATTTGCAAGTGGTTTTAAGGATACGCGGATTAATTCAATACAAATGATAAATTGTAAAAGATTAAATAGATAAAAGATGTAGTAAATTATCAAACCGCTTGAGGAGGATGATTCCGAACATTGCAACAGCCTCAATGAAATATCCACCCTCGATCCGGACTCACAAGCACTGATGAACAAGAATAATAACTTTTAATAACGGCGAAAATAATAGTGTATTGCCTTGGTATGCATGTGTTACAATATCGTCAATGAATAGTCAGACTCCCCTTTGTATAGTAGGGGAGTTTTACCCTAAGTACAATTCTATAAAAGTTAAAAATCTTCTGCTTAACTAATCACCGGTTCTCTATCGATACGTGTTGAGATTCACGTCGTGATATACGGCCGGTCGCAGATATCACGGCCTTCTGTTGCTCGTGCCCGATCGTCCGGTAATGTTCTTCGAGGCCTTCGGATTCGAACTGAACCCGGGGGCCATGGCCCCGATATTCCCGAGGGCAGTTATTTCACCCTTGCCTCGATTTACGTTTCTTGCTCCGTTTACTTCATCGAAAATCGAGACGTACCATGAGCTCGGTTTTACTCGAATATAAATACATTGGTGCGAAGAAAATACACCATCTGTTTGGAATATACATAAACATAATTACAAGTCCTAAACTACCATCAACACAATGGTTGATTGCAACCGGAACGTTGGTATATCTCTAGGGCTGGCAAAAATGACCCAAACCTATTTAACCGCCCAATCCATCCAGCATTTAATGGGTTGGGCATAAAGAATTTTCCTGATGGGATGGTTTGGGCAGAACCCATCCTAACCCATTAAATAAATTAGCCCAAAGCTGACCCATCAAATGGCCCAAAGCTGACCTGTCAAACTGCCCATAGCAGAACTACTGAGTGAGAATATGTACTCTTTTTAAAAGTGGACAACTACTAACCAATAAATTGATTTTTCTCTTTTTTCTGGGGGATTTGCATCTATACCCGCTTTTTGTGTCACGTTTTAACTTGTGCCTGCTTTGCAAAAAAAATTACAAGCGTACCCGCTTTTTCGCATAACTTCAGCATACGGGGCTGAAGTAGCAAAGGCAATCACGCAAAACTTCAGCATTCTAGTAGACGTGCCTGAAGTAGCAAGTGCGCTAAACCAAGTGTGCTGAAGTTTTTGTTTTTGTAACTGGCGAACTTTAGCTCTAGAGCTGAAATTTTTGTTTTGTAACTGACGAACTTCAGCTCTAGAGCTGAAGTTTTTGTTTTGTAACTGGCGAACTTCAGCTCTAGAGCTGAAGTTTTTGTTTGTAACTGGCGAACTTCAGCTCTAGAGCTGAAGTTTTTGTTTTGTAACTGGCGAACTTCAGCTCTAAAGCTGAAGTTTTTGTTTTGTAACTGGCGAACTTCAGCTCTACAACTGAAGTTTTTATTTGTAACGGGCGAACTTCAGCTCTAGAGCTGAAGTTTTTGTATTTGTAACTGGCGAACTTCAGCTCTAGAGCTGAAGTTTTTGTTTTGTAACTGGCGAAGAGCTGAAGTTCTTGTTTTGTAACTAGCTTATGGTTTTCATGCTTCCCAGAGGCTTAAATTAAACCATCCATCAAAACAGATGATGTTAAGAGATGGCACAAACAAAGAGGTTTTCGTTGTGATTCAAACCAGTTAGTCTCAGCATAAACAGATAAAAGATCTGTGCATTTTTTCTACAACGAAAAGTTTTCAACGTACTTATACAGATTTATGATAAGCTGATTTATTTATTTAAACCACTTAGTTTCAGTTAGTTGCTGCTTCAACGCATCTATTGCCACCATTCAATCAAGCAGGGACCTTTAGTCACGGACTTCAGAAAGAGGTTGAGGGCGGATATAACTTTGAGGAAGAGAAGGAGGAGGAGAAAGGGGGTTGAAGTTGTTTAAAAAGTGGGTACAAGTTAAAAGTTTTAAAAAAAAAATGGTATAGGTTAAATGGGGGCGACCAAATAGGGCGCCCGTGCAATTTTTACCTTTTTTCTTCCTAATCTTACACTAGGCCCTTTTTTTTAGTTCCACAAATTTTATATATTTGAACGTTTTCATTACGTAACTTTTGTGGAAATAAGTCATTATTTTATATCATACTAGTAGTTTCTTAGCAAATTCTAAAAGTTTTGCCTAAAATAAGTTTTTGCTTCCAAGGTATAAAATTCTCTTTGTAATTAAATTTCACTAACCAGCCAATTAAATACATTGAGTTTTATTTGTAATAACATTCAATATCCTTAACTTCTAAATAAAAAATTAAAGTACAAGTCTAACTGAGATATAGAAGCAATCAAATCTA